ATATAGGGTAAACGGGGATCAGAACATTGCAAGGAAGAAAACCTAACCCTAGAAGCGAGGATGAAAGCATAGGTCTATCCTGTGTAGATGTGAAGGTGTAAGGCGACGATGATGACGGAGAAGATGGCGAAGAAAATGAGGGTGTGGATGAAGATGGCCTTGCCGTTGGTTCGCATGCTGCCGAATTCTGCCACTCGGTTGTTACCGGGCAGCTCGAAGAGGAGCCCCGGCGAAAGCAGAACGAATAGGAGAACGCCGACCACCACAGGTGCCCAGTCCGCCATTTCTGCCTGCGAGTTGCGACCCGCTAAGATGGAGGATGGAGGCCGGGGAATAAAGGGAACTAGGGAGTGAGAGTAAGGGAAGGAACTGTACGTGTACCGACTGCTGTCGGTCGAGGCATGACACATGAAAGCACCTTGGAAAATTTCCGATTACTTTTTGCGCCACGTAATTTTTAGAGGAATTTACATACATACCACTCAATTTCTAAGTATTTACATATCTAATACGTACTTAATTTTATTCATGAAAATGTGTGTTTTACTTTTTAAAAATTAAAATATAGATATTTTTTTATGTGATGTTAAAGAATTAAATGGTGTAAATGTAAAAAAATAAAATTTAGAGGGTAAATATGTAAGTACATATGAATTGGGTGGTATATATATATAAATGCCCCTAATTTTTTATATATTTACCTATATATTTTTTAGAATTTTAATATCAATATATACAAAACTTCAACCAACCTAAAATACATCAACAAAAAACATTTATTTCACTTTTAAAGACTAGTAACATTTTTTTTTGTGATTTAAAAAAATTAAATGTTATAAAAATAAATATTAAAGTGTGTTTCCTTCTCAACTAGCTACATAAGGGTGTAATAGATTTAAAATTGAAAAGCACAATATTACTTTGTCAAGTGTTTCCATGCTTATTTGATTTATACTTAATTTGTTGTCATCAAGAATCAACCACTATTTAAAATATTTTATGCCAAAGAAATGATTCCTAGTTTATTTGAGAAAAATCATCATGGATACGCGCAAGTACCTGTCATGTAAGTTCTATTATAATCTTTTTAGGGGTCTTGGTTCATCAATTCGCAGACGATTTTTGTTATATAATTT